ACACCACCCCCCCACACACACACACACACACTCACCCTGTAGTTCTGTAAAATAAAATTAAGTTTATCTATAACATTTCAGTTTTAATTTGCAGTAATGAGCTTTAATCTTTTCAAATGTTATGATCGTCCTTTCACAGCCTTTTAACGATCAATTCCCAAGCTCCCTCCGGGTCATCGCTGAGCACAACAGGTCACTGCTGAGGAGGTCTGGTTCGCTCACGCTCTAAAAAAATCCCTATGTTTGATATAACGGCCGTATAATGTTGAAACGTCTCAAAGTGCTTTACAAGTACTGTAGTCACTATCAAGTTAGACTGGACAATGCACTTGTAGGCAAATTTAGCAGCACACAGAACAGTCCTGCAATGAGGTGGGTGTCATATTAATCTGGAGGACTGCTGGGCAGAATACTAAAATGCTCATTTTTAATAGCGTCACAGAATCTGTAACATCCATCAGAAGAGGCAGATAGGCCCTCGGTTTAACGTCTGTTCTGAAGTACAGCATTTAAGTATCTGCATCTCAGCAAAGAAGCATTGGTACAGTATTATTGTACAGCACTCAGCTTTGTCACACACACAGTGCACTGAACCAAACTCCATTGGTTCCTAACAACTCAGAGGATTCATCTTAAGATCCTCATCCTAGTTTTCAAATCTCTTCACAATCTCACCTCACCTTACATATGCCATCTCCTCCTGCAGGACTGTATTCCAACCCATGCCCCTGCTCTTTCAATTCTGGTTTATTCCTCTCTCCTCATTCTCTTCATCCCACCATCGGTCTCTGATCTGCACTCACCCTGTCCTTGCTTCCAGAACCACATTGCTTTGCTGCTTCTTTCTCTGCCTTTAAAAATCTCTTCACTACAAATCTCTGACCAGGGCTTTCTCAACATCTTTAAATCTCTTATTGCCTTGCTCTGTATGCATTGCTCCACTTAGCAAGCACTTTGAGATGTTATTTTACACGAAAGCCTCTATATAAATGCAAATTGGTATTATAGCTCATTCATGTAACACCAGAGACCTTCCTTGTTACTCTCCTTTGCACTGCCTCAAGGGCTTAGTTAGAACCCTTATTCTGTGGTGACCATAACTATGCACAGTATTCAGGTACGGCCTGACGAGATACCTTGTACAGCTTGAGCATGCTTTCCAGGGATCTGAACAAAGTTGATTTGGCATCCTATTTGTCTTGGATGCCTTGTACGTTTCACTTGTTTAATGTTAATTACACAATGTTTGTAAATTATTTGAAAATTCTACCAGTAAGCTACTGGGTGAAGCAGTGGGTTCGTCATTGCCTATTCGATCTGAATTGCAATCCAGTCCAGTGCAGACTGAGGGCTGAAAGCCTTCTCTTGTTTGTTGGATGTAACAACCTCTGTAATGTGAGTCTGGACAGTCACAGCTCGTTCCGAGAGTTCTTTGTGTACAACAGTCAGTAGTAGCCTTGATCAGAGCGGCCACAGGCAGCTGATCTCACAAATGGCAATGTCACTGCAGTTCAGCAGCGGAGCGCTCTTCTGATACATTGGGGATAGAGTGAGATATTGGGCTGACCCGTGTCCTTAGTGCTGACCCTGGAGAGGGGAATTCGATCAGCTGGTAAATATAGTGACAATCAGAGACTGACTGACCCCAGGCCTAACACAGGAACGTCTCCTCACTAGCAGGAACACTTGTTTAATGAGCACAAAAATTCATCAAAAGAGGAGCTGCATCGGGCACAGCTGTAGCCTGAGTCAAGGTCAGCCTGCCTTTGCTCAGTTAGCATCTCAGGAGGCTGCTGTCTGTGTGACAGTCAGACCATTAATACAATAGAAGGAATTGTCTCCTTCAAGCACTTGAACTGGCAATTCAGTATAACATTTAGACTGGAGCAGGGAGAGAGAGAGGCAGCGATAAGCCTTTTTACAAGCCCTTGTGACAAATATTGCGGCAAATGGGGCACTGGAGCCAGGTTCCTCTGCTCCGCTTCTGATGCTCCAGCATTAGTGATGTCAGTGGTTGCATAGGCTAATTTACGGTATTTCTTAACGGGATTCTTTAACAAGGAATTTGAGTCATGCAAATGGGGCGGAGGGGGGGAGTTTGTTTGTTTCCCTGTAACCAGAACTGCTTTACTCAGGTCGTGGAATTTTGAAGAGATTACCTATTAAGCAAATCCTGTTAAGAAATACAGCAAATGATAGGACCACAAACGTGATCAAGGAGGATCAATGGATGTATCATTTAAATGGATCAGAAGACATATGATAAGGTGCCACAAAAGAGGTTTCTAGATCAAATTAAGGCAATTTCATGTAAACTTGTGTTATGGATAGAAAATTGGGTAGAAGGTGGGGCAGAAAGTTGGAATAAATTGGTGAGCGATGACAAACGATGTCCCCATGTTGCTAGGCCCTAGCATTTCACCCTATGTATAAGTGACGTGGATATAGGAATAGAGGTAGGGATATTGTATTTCCAAGTTTATTGATGGCACTAAGCTCGGAAATGTCATAATTGTGAAGAGAACACTGTTGAAATTGTACACTTAAAGATTAAGCGAGTGGGTGGAAATCTAGCATGTAGCGTTTGATATTACAAAGTGTGAGGAGTAAACTTTGGTTTGAATGGGAAACATTCTGACTTTGAAAGCAAAAGAGGGAAGGGCTGATGAGCAACATGGTTCAACTACATAAAGTGATATGCACGGAAATAGGTTATTTTGGCCAACAAGTCACTAGTGATTTATGCACATATTGACATAAATCATTAAAAACTGAATTGCTGGTGCAGTGAGCAAGAACATAGAAGCAAGGAAGCTCTAATGCAGGTTTTTAGATGGTAATATTTTGCCTCTGGATCAGAAGTTGTGGGTTTCATGTCGGGGTCTGAGTTCACACTCTCTAGGCTGACATTCCAATGCAGCATTGATGGAGAGCTACATTGTCGGTGGTGCCATCCTTCAAATGAGATGTTAAACTGAGGTGCTTTCCCATGGCTCTTTAACATCCACATACACAGCTGTAAGAAAGTCCGGGGTTTTGGTCCAAAAGCTTGTTAAAGTTGCGGTTTTGAGCAACACATTTCAACATCCTGTTTCTTCTCTTCACGGCTGGGACGCACAGAGCTGATAGTTTCAGTGATCTATCCACTAATAACCTCAAATACCTCTCCTGTGTTGGGTTCCGTAGACATATTATTTAGTTTATATTCCCACTCTCATCACTCAGCATTTGTCCACATTAAATGATATTTATTATCTCCTAATCTACCAACATCCCTCCCAGTTTGCCCAATGTACTTAAAGAAAACCTGTTGTACACATGAGTGACAAGGGAGAAGAGGGGTTTGGAGGAGAGGAATAGGAAGCAATGGAGTTTTGCATGGAGTATAAATACTGGCACACGTCAGCTGGGTCAAATGACCTATTTCCATGCCGAATCACTCTCTGTAACTCCCCAGTGTGGTGTCATCAGCAAATGGCGATCACTGTGTTTCTGTCCCCACTTCCAAACCCACCTTTTACAGAGAACAACACAATTTATTTCAGGGAAGCATATAACCCAGGAAGTAGCGAGTACAGATCAGCTCGGCCCACAAAGTGCCCATTGAATGGATCAGATTCCAGTCTCAAGTAGTGTGTTAGGGTATGGGGGTACTTTCTCCACTCACTCCGTATAGATTTAATGGCAGGAGTCAGACTAGTGTTAAGCTGTAATAAAAAATGGACACTGAGTAGCTCCCATTTCAAACAATCTTTAATGTAGTTTCACAAACACAGATAATTGTACACACACAAAGACACACACACTCACCCTGCACCCAGACTAGGAGGTTCATGGTACTGCAGGCCTGTGCAGTGAGGGTAACTGAATTGAACGATAGCAGTCCAAATGGGGGAGCTTTGCCACCAGCAATGGTGCCTCATAAAGACGGACCACAGCGCTCGTCCCTTAACCCGATACAGGCCCTGCCACTGCTCAGGTCTCTTCCAGTCTAAAGCTTTGTCCCGAACGTGGACAAACACAGCTCACGTCACATACCCTGACAGCACTACGGTACACACAGTTAAATCCAGAATTAATGCATAACGTACACCTGCAATATTTGCCTTATCCTCACTAATAGTCTAGATCTCTACACAAAGTGCTATAAAGTAATTATTCGTTATTCACATCATCACCCATACCCAACACTGCCCCCTCCACATCATCCAACCCCCCCCCCCCAACGCCCATCACTCACTCCCCACATCTCCCCAGTCTGGGAAACTCAGCCTCCCTTTATTTAGTATGCGCTAACCTCACACGTGTAAGAATATAAATCTATTTGTAATATTTTAAATGTACAATTTCTACAATGCTCCTAAAAGCTCCACAAAGCGCACACTCGTCCCGCAAACCCATTGTTAAATATAATTCTACTGCACAAGAATAAACTATTTAAATTTCCCGCTCAGGGCCAATCGGCAGAGAGACAGATCAACCTCCAAATGTGGCTGTACTTTTACTGCAACCGGCACCAGCACTGGTTACAGCACCACAGCTCCTGGGGAAGGTCCCACAGTGAAGTCAGCCACTCACGTGGGCAGCTACACCTGAAACTGACCCACATAACCAACCGGCACCAAGTGAACCGGGAATCATCACCACAATTTCTGGCAGTGCCACTGAAACCGAGAGTTATTCATAATAATAAATAATAATCCTTGTTTGATATATCGCCTTATCACATACTTGAGACATCTCAAAGCACTTCACAGAATATACTGTAAAATGAATTGACTGTATATTTTGTAGGCGAAACGCGCACAGCAGTGTCCCACAAACAGTTGTGGATTGTGGGACCAAATTATTATTATTTATTTTTTGGAGGAATTATTACTCCCAGAAAAGCGATCTGCCAATCGACTAACAACTGGGTTCATACTTACTGCTAGGTAAACAGGCGTGTGGAGGAAAGGAAACTTGCCCAACATTTCGCTCGGCAGAGGAATCCTCTCGCTTGTGAGGCGAGTGCTCTAACCACTAAGCTACAGACCTCCACATTAATACTAGCTAAATACCTTATTAATATCAAGGCTTACCATATTTGTCTAGTTAAGCCTGCCTGCCTCTCCGAGTAAGGTGTTGTTGCAGTGTAATGAGCCCAATAGGCTGGAGGACTGCCTGGCTTTGCTGTGTCAATCCCAGGGAGACTGATACTTATTACAATATTAAGTATTATTCTCCATGAGATCGATCTGGCAAAACCTCAATAATACGTGATAGTATAGATACTAAAGAACATTACTATTGAGCGTTATTGATAACTGGGTGTTATTAATGCTGAACGATTTTGATGTTATTTTTGTCAGGTGCTATTTACAGGGAGGCTGTAACTTGCAGGGAGCACAGTTATTTTCCAGGTCACTGATGCTCAGCATTACGCAGGGCCAGAAATGGTTATTTTGCCACTGACAACCAACAGAAAGATCTCTTAATCTGAACTAAAGGTGCCTTGGTCCCCTCCTTCCCACACCCAGTATGTGTGTTTACCATTAACCAGAACTATAATGGCACCTGGTAACCAGAACGAAAGTGTACGTGGTAACCAGTAATTATCACTAAACCAGCATGTGGTAACCAATACCCAGCATCAAACTAAGTGTAACTGGTACCAACTAGTTCCAGCACAACAAGGAGTATGTTAGCCAGAACCCAGCCGTGTTGTAGCCATTGGTATCAAACTGGCTTTTGGTAACCGGAACTAAACCAGTAATCATTCTGGCTTGTGGTACCTAATCATCAGCACTAACTTGACAAATGGTAATCACTAACCAGGATAAAACAGGAGTCTGTGATCCAGCTTCTAAATGACATGTAAGAACCAGTAATCGCCACAAGGCCAGCATGTGGTAACCAGTAACTACACTAAAATGGTGTCATCGATAACCTGCTATAAAGTGATGTGTGGTAACTAGTGACCACCACCGAGCCAATGCGTAGTAACTATCATACTGTCACCCATCTGGCATGTAGTAATCAGTAACCGACTTATGGTAATCAGTAACAGACATATGTTAACTAGTATCAATCCAGAGAGTGGTACCAGCACAAAAGTAGCATGTGTAACTAATAATTTATACTAAACAAGTTTCTGATAACCAACAACCAGCGACATACTGGCAAATGGTAACTAGTAATAACCTCGCATTTGGTAACCAGTCACCAGCACCAAACTGACGTCCAGCAATTAATAATCAGCAACAACCTGATGTTTGGGACCCAGTAACCAGCACAACATGGTATGTGGTTAATAAGTAACCAATATCAAGCAGATGAATCAGTAACTAGTATCAACCTAGCATGTGGTCACTAATATCCAGCACCAAACCATGTACTGGATCTTCCACCCAGGGCTCCTCCGCCAGGGAGTAACTGAGTAGTAACTGGTTACCAGGCCCAGCGCTGGACATTGCTGGTTACTGGCCTGATCAGGTTACCAGGTTAATCTGCTGCGGTGCAGTGACCTCACATGGCCCGACAGTGCCCGGTCATGGACAGGCCACAGCTGCTTCAGACACAGATCTCTATGGCCGTGGTGACCATCATTCGACCTTTGCCCTTGTCCTTCCTGCTCTCCAATCTGCCCGTGGAGGAAGAGGTGGAGTGTGTGGGGGGCTCAGGGCTGGGGGGCACTGGCCGGACCCCTGAGGATGCGGCCTCGGAGAAGACACTGCGTTTCAGCGGCGTGGCCGCACGTGAGCCCTCGGGCCTGTGAGGAGCGGAGCCCGCGTGGGGTTTACAGCGATAGGAAGGCCGCCTCCTCAACTCCACCATCAAGTCACACTTGAGGAAGTAAAAGACCTCTTTGACTGAGCACCTTTTGTCGGGGTCCAAGGCCAACAGCCTCTGGAACATGCGCAGCGCCATGTCAGTGAAGCGTTTCCACTGGGATGGGAAGCCATTCAGTCGGCCCCGCTGCCAGCGCACAAACTCCTCGTAGAAGGAGTCGGAGGGCAGGGCGGCCTCCCAGGGGAAGTTCCCGGTCAGCATGCAGAAGACCAGCACCCCGAAGGCCCACACGTCGATGCTGCAGTCCACGAGGAAGCCCTCTGCCCTGCTGGCCTGACACACCTCGGGGGCTGTGTAGGGGATGGTGCCGCTGATGCGTTTAACCCGGCAGCCAACCTTCCTGGTCATCCCAAAGTCCGACAGCTTGACTCGCCGACACTCGCGATCGAACAGCAGCACGTTCTCGGGCTTTATGTCCCTGTGCACCAGGCTCTTGCCATGCATGTAGTCAATGGCCAGTCCCAGCTGCTGCACACAGCGCTTGACGGTATCCTCGGGCAACCCCACCTGCATCAACACCAACAACCGTTATTAGCTCTAACCTCGCCCAGCGTGGCTCGCACACTCGCTTCCTCGCGAGCCTTTCTCCACGAGCTGTGTCGCTCACACTCATGGAGCAGTCCTCACATAAGAATCACTAGAGGAAAGAAGATCAAGGTCTATCCAGTTTGCCTTCCACCATCCCACCAGTTGCAGCAGGCAATGTCATGTCCAAAACTATATACTGTGTCCTAAGAAATCTATCTAATTTGCTTTTTGAAAGAATTGACAATTTCTGCTTCCACCGCCTCCCTAAGAACCTGTTCCTTACATTTACCACTCGCTCACTCAAACAATGTTTCCGCAGACACTTCGAATTTACCCCCCTTTAATCGCAGGCCGTGCCCTCATTGTGCAGTGCTCACACCCGCAGCTCAGGCTCACAGTGCCAGTCGTTCCCGCGCCCCTGCCCTCCGCCTTACCTGAGGGGGGATGATATCAAACAGGTCGCCTGCGGGTGCATATTCCTGGGCAAAGGCGTAGCAATCCTCTGTCTCGAAGACCATGTCGAACACCTTGATGATGAAGGGACTGGAGAGGGAGCTGGTCACACTGAACTCTCGTAGGAAACTTTTGAGCTTGGTCTTATTCTTATTCAAGAACTTCAGTGCCATCTTGGTGCCTGTGGACACAGCGACTGTCACAAATTTCATGTCTGATTTCAGCTTAATGAGCCCTCTGGAGCAACTTTGCTTTCCGAACAAATCTGCATCCTCCAGCTGCGCTCACACCTACCTTCTCTCGAGCCCACACAGTGCGCTCTGCACTTCTTTTCAGCGTAATAAACTACCTTGATTACTTTCCGTTGTGAACCCAATTTGCTGAGACGACCCAGACAAAGATGTGCATTGCATTATCTGCTGTGTTTTTTTTCTCCCTCTTTTAGTTGTAGGAAAATTGGTATTTGAATTTAAAATTTAAAAACTGTCACAGTGATTACCCAGGGTGTGTTCCCTCTCCTCCTCCTGTTGTGTGTGACACCCTCACTCTCGAGCAACTATCCTTGGCACATCAACCCCCCAATCACCCACCCACCCCCATTCAAGGCAAACTCCATTCCCATTTGCTGGGGTAATGTGGCTAATGGAGAAACGTGCACTCTAGCTGTTATGGGGTTAATGCTACCGAGATTCATCTTTAGCTGTTACGGGATGAATGCTGTTCAGCTCCAGCTATTACATGGTTAATACCATCAAGCTCTGGCTCTCGCTGTTATTAGTTAATGCTGCCTGACTGGCTACGGCTTCTACAGGGTTAATACCACCCGCCTCCAATGGAGGAATCTTTGACCTACTTTTAGTGTCCAATTCACATCAGGGAAAAACTAGGCTAATTAAGGAGGTGAATTGTGGATCTGATGAATGAGGCAGAGAAAGCGCTGTTTGTGACAGCTGCCCCCCCCCCCCCCCCCACACACACACACACACACACACACTGTGTCTCACATAAGCAGATCATTCGCTGACACCTTCTTTGTTCTGCTTTCAGCCTGTGCTGGAGCGGGCCTGGGGAACAGGCGCCAAGGGGCGGTGTGCTCTCACACACCACTTGCACAATTCTCACACAGCTCTCAAACACACACACACATTGCGCACACAACACATGGACACATACACGTAACACACGTACACACAACACACGCTTCTGATTCTCGGTTACCAGAACACAACAGGAACACTGCCCGCTGTACAGTACTGGGTCAACCTGTAACACTACAGTACAGCTCTGTGTCACACAGCAACCCTGCACAATACAGCACTGGGATCCTGTTGGTTTCTATTAAATTTGCTGCATTATAAGCAGTGGCAAATCTAATTCACTACATTTTTTTGTTGGATCTCAAGAGTATTTGATTAGAAACTAACTTGTTTTTGGTGAGGGGAAACTTGGGATGAAACGTTAAAAACTGAGGTCCCGTCTACCTGTTCAGGTGGATGTTAAAGATCCCATGGAACTATTTGAAAAGAGTTTCTCCCGGTGGCCAACTGACCTGGCCAACAAATTCCCCGAATAAAATTGGTCTTCACACCAAGGCTGTTTGTGGAACCATTCGTACTGTGCACAACTGGCTGCCGTGTTTGCCCACAAAATACACAGTCAAACCACTTTACAGTAAAATGCTGTGAAGTGCTTTGAGTGGTTCAAGTGCTTATTAATCACATTAATGACAAGAACTGTTATTACCTTAAGGTGAGAGTTAGGAGGATAAGAAATGGGATCTGTAAACATTTCTTCACACGAGAATGTGGAATTCAATGTCCCCGGAAACCATGCAGATAGAATCAATTGGGATGTTCAATATGCTTGGAAAATTAGGATATTAAGAATTATGGACCATGTGGAGAAATGGGAAGAAGAAATCTGCCATGATCTAGTAAACTGGGGAGCAGGCTTGACAGGCTGAGTTGTCTTTTCCTGTGTTCCTACCTGCACTTTTATGAATGACCAGCTCCACTCTGCCGTATGTCCCTTTGCCGAGCTCACGGATGAAGTCATAGTGTTTATGAATGTCGGCAGCAGAGAGGCTTCGGACCGCCATCGCCTGCGTCTCCTCCGAGATCCCCGCCCCTCCGCAAGGGCCCCGCTCCGGCAAACACACATTCGTCTTTCCACTGAAACAAACCACAGAGAAGCCATGACCCACATCTCCCATGTCTCAGTCCCACCATCACCCCGTGTCTCAGTCCCACCCTTACCCACCATTTCACTCCTATCGTTAACCTGTTTGTCATTCCTACCATCACCTCACTGTTGCTTATGGGTGCCAGAGTGACTGTAAGCTTTCACTGACCCTCACAACCCAGATTACAGCCTGCCAGTGGCTGGGTTGCACTGGGAGTGAGTGCCACCAATATATTTCCCTCCTCGCATTGTTGAGTTCGCTGCGTTCTGTCTGCACGATCACAGAATCTTCAAACAACTATTTATGACCACTTAAGGAATCATCACGAACAATGTGCATTTATACTGTGCCTTTCGCATAAAAGAAATCTCAAAGCCACAGTCAAGTGTAATGTTGGACACTGAACAGGAAAATAAGGGTTTTAAAGAAGTTGCTCAAAGCATATATTTTTAGGAGGTCTTATAGAATTATAGAAATTTCCATCGCAGAATGAGGCCACTTGGCCTACCTAGCCTGTGCTGACCGTGAAAGGGTTCTTCATTTGGTCCCACTTCTCTGCCTTTCCTTCCATAAACTCTTTATACTTTATTCTACTTATTTTGGATTCTGGCTCAACCACTAGTTTTAATAGGGCATTCCAAATCCCATTGCCCACAACTCTCTGGATATAAAATAAGACTGAAAGATAGTACGGCAAAATGGGGTTTGAAGAGAGTTCCAGAGTCCTGAACCCTCTATTTTCTCTCCTTACAGTTGAATGTCAACCTCTTTTCCTGTTCTCTTCCCTTCTCTCTTTCCCCATATTCTCTTTCCTCTGTCTCTCTCCCTCTCTCGTCCTCTGTGCTTTCCATTGTAAGAACAGTGGCAGCAGCTCTGGTTTGAGGTATCCTACGTGATAAAGTGCTGTATATAAACCACAATCTTTATTGATGTATTTTATAGTGAGCACTGGCTGTGTCCTCCCTACGGCCCGAAATGACGCAGATTTTACGACTGGAGAACTCTTTTAAGCTCAGGTAAAGTTCAAAGTAGTTTGATACATCCTACATACGTAATTCCTAAAAATAACAGAGATTCAGCCAAGATATCAGTGCATGGAAAGGTGGGTTGTGATACTAATAATAACAATCCTTGCATTTGATATAGCTCCTTATCACATCTTCGAGATGTTTTAAAGCACTTCACAGAATATACTGTAAAGTGAATTGACTGTATATTTTGCGGGCAAAACGTGGCAGCCAATTGCTCACAGCAGCGTCCCACAAACAGTCGTGGATTGACTGACCAAATTTTTTTTTTTGAGGGACTATTACCCCCAGAAAAGCAAACTGCCAATCAACTAACAACTAGGTTCCTACTTACTGCTGGGTAAACAGACGTGTGGATTAAGAAAATTTGCCTAAGGGTTCGCCTGGGCTGGGAGGTACTCTCACTTGCGAGGTGAGTGATCTAGCCAATAGGCTACAGGACTCCCTAGTTATACTAGCTAGCAGTTCAGGATGCTAAGCCTGCATGTTATGGAGAGACTGAGTTTAGAGAGGGAACAAGTGAAAGGTCTCAGTGGGTTAACACTGGCGCAGGGTAAACCGCCAGTTGTTTGATAAATGTGCTGAATTTTAGATGCTCCCAGTATAAGCTCGATGACGAAGGAACAGAAGAGAACTGTGCCATCTCCCAAGGGATGGCTCGTCTGAAGCAAAGCCAGGGAGAGTCCACGTCACCCCATTGGTCACCTGACTTGCCTCATTTATTCCTGAAGGATTTTGTGTAGTAAGTGGTTAATGTGGCACCGCCATTTCTCTCTCTCCTCACTGGCCCAATTACACGTCATTGTGAATGTCTGCACATGCTTTACCTAAGAGACTCAGATGGAGGAGCCGAGACCACAGAAACAATGCAGCAAATCAACGGGTCTGGAAACAGTAGGCAGGGAGACAAAGTACGGTGGAAATTATACCCAAATATCGGTGAAATCAAGAGAGAATAGATGGAGAGTGGCAAGGAGAGATGGAGGATCAGATGTCAGTCACTAAATCTTGTATCCAGATCAGGAGTGGGAGGGAAGGAACCTTTTCCTGTGTTTGTAAACACATTTCTCGTGCACAGCTCTCCGGAGACGAGGGAGATTATCCAACTACAGGGCTCCATGCTTTGTAGCAAATGAGGCACAGCATTGTCTATGGCTGGGTCTGGGCGGCTGCTCATTGTGTTATTGCCCACGATAGTGAGAAGCTCGGATAAGGCTCAGGTTGCACAGGTCAGATGTCACTTTTTTCCTGAAGGCTGATTGGTGCTGGCCCCACACACAGAATAGATACGGAGCACATGCACTTTTCCAACCCATAAAGCGAAGTAACCATGGAAACACCCACTCGTCTAGCCCATGAACCGCAATCCTGTTAATCCGGTTTGGATGATTTGGTAACCATGGGAACGGCAGCTAATCCCATGCTTGGACCACAGTCACTGCAGGAACAACCACCGATCAGCCCATGGACTGGTGAGCATGGAAATGGCCACTAATAATAACAATAAGTTACTTACATTTGGTATAGTGTGTCTTTCATGTCAGTGGGTCATCGCAAAGCGCTTCACGGGATAGTTTCCGTGAAGTGTGTTTTGTGGGTATACATGACAGTCAATTTGCACCTAGCAGTGTCCCACAAATAGCCATTTCCATTTTTATGGGGGGGTGCTCTCTTTTCAAATAGCGCCATTAGATATTTAACATCCATCTGAACAGGCAGGTGGTACTTTAGTTTAACATCTTATCCGAAGGACAGCACTTCCAACAATGCAGCACGCCCCCAGCACTGCACTGGAGCATCAGCGTAGCCTATATGAATTCCAACTCCCGATATGGCCTTGAGCCAACAACCTTCTGACTCAGAGACAAGAGTCAGGCTGACACACGCAGTGGAGTGGGAGTGTTAGAAGCTGGTGGAAGAAGTCAAGTTCTGCGAGTGGGATTCTTTAATGAGACACCAGCTTCTAACAATGGGCAGTTTAGGTGCAGCAAACATGAGGTCGTGTATTCACTTTCCTTCAGCTGCAAGCTTCATTCATCAGAAACCGTCTCCATTCTGACCAGAACCGACTCCGCAACTCTGCCATTACACTCAGGCAATAACATTGCAGACGGTGGGAAAAGGAACAGCACCAGCTACGTGGTCCTAGCTAGACAAGCAGTGGGAAGCTTGTCAGACAGTACTTTCAATAGCGGTTTTATCTAGTTAGACTCTAGCAGTATCCCAATGCACGCTCTGGGTCCCCAAGCCTTGGCTCTTGCCTACCTGCGCCTAACACTCTCCGAAATTAGGAAATCAGGATGGATCCCTCCAGGGAGAAAATGTGCATTACATTCCACCAATCTATCTCTGGAATTTCCATGAGTGGGTGGGTGGGATGCATGGAATTCTCGGTTTGGTTTGGATACTCTTAGGCATAGTGATGCATGTGTCAGAGACCTGGCTGACAAAAACAAAACTCAGTTTCACCTCTCACCCTAAGGATGGCATCAAGGTAAGGCTGCCCCTGCACTACAGTGTCGGTCTAGAGGTCAAAGTCCCAACATGCGATTTCAACCCACAACTTTCTAATCCAGAGATGAGTGTTGCCAACTCTGCCAAACTGAGACTGAAGTTTACATTTACATTTACTTTGACTGCATTTCATTTGATCTCAGTGTTTAATACAGAATTAAATACTGCGGGTCAGTGCTTGAATCTTAGTTTTGCCCATTATATATACAGTGAATTCATTGACAGTAATAATAATAATCCTTGTATTTGACGTAGGGCCTTATCACCTCTTCGAGACGTCTCAAAGCACTTCACAGGATATAGTGTAAAGCGCAGTGACTGTGTTTTATGGGAGAAACGTAGCAGCCAATTGCGCAAAGCAGTGTCCTACAAATAGTCATGGATTGAGTGACCAAATTATTTTTTTTTGAAGGAATTATTACCCCCGGAAAAGCGATCCGCCAATCGACTAACAACCGGGTTCCTACATACTGCTAGGTAAGCAGAGGCATGTTAGAGTAAGGAAACTTACAGAATGTTTTGCCCTGCGGGAATCAACCCCAGGTCTCTCGCTTGCGAGGCAACTGCTCTAACCACTGAGCTACAGGACTCTGTGAAGCGCTTTGAGACATCTCAATGATGTGATAAGGCACTATACAAATGCAAACTTTATTATTAGTAGTTTTAGTACCAGAGTCAGTGGGTCATTATGGCCTCAGTCCAGGGTCACAGTCTAGATTGTCAGACCATTCAGTCTCTTTAGTTGGTAGTAATTTGTACATTTGACTGAAGTCCCAGCTCTGGCTCCTGATAACCGTGCACTGACAGGCAGGCAGCGCAACCCACCACTGACGGGGTCTTTACCGTCCTTGGCTGAGCGCTGTTCAGATTCTGAGCCCAGCATCGTTTGAGATGCTCACTGCCAAGGTCGGCACATGCACCAGTAACACAAAGTGTCCGTTCCCACGCTCTGGGAATAATACTGTCCCCAAGACATGCATCCACACGCATTTCTGCCCTGGCAGAAACCCTGCATCGGGCGGGCGCGATCCGCACACAGACTCCAAACTACAGGCTGGGACTGAGCTTCTGCACAGACAAAGACTGAGACTAACAAAGGACTCTCTCTGTCAGACGCCTCTTTGTGTACATCAGCCGCTTCAACTCTCAGCCACTGTGAATGCACAGAGAGGTACAGACAGAACCAACATTAACAGCACCTCCTTTCTGATCGGCTGTTAACACTTCAATGTCAGTCAGTGAGAGACAATGCATTTGATACAGCGTCTTAGCACGTTGTTGAGACGTCTCAAAGCACTTCGCAGAATATCCTGCAAAGTGAATTGACTGCCTGCTTTGTGAGCGAAGCGCGGCGGAGGCCAATTGCGCGCAGCAGTGTCCCACAGACAGTGGGTTGTGAAGCAAATGAATGTGTGAATTAATGCAAAAGAGCGGAATCCAAGAGAGAAGCTTCATGGAATTACAATAATTCCTGTGGGAGGGGGTTGTGCTCCCTGAATCACCGAGTTCAACATCTCTGCCTTTCACTGTATCCAGGGCTCAGTCTCCCCCTCCCCATCACCCCCCCCCCCCCCGGCTGGAGCTCTGAACTGAACCCCAGTCACACACTCACCTGCACGGCTTGGGCACCTGAGCCTCTCCCACCTGCTCCCTTGTCCTCGGAGTCTCTGCCACATGGTCCCTCTCCCTCGCCTCGTCCAGTCTTTCCACTTTATTTCCCAGTTGGAATGTGGGGAGTTTCTTCCCTCTGTTGTTGTTGCTGTGCTGGGGATGGGGGGGTGAGGGGATGGGGGGTGAGGGGATGGGGGGTGAGGGGATGGGGGGTGAGGGGTGAGGGGCTGACAGGACACTTGGCTCCGGCGTGGGTTCAATTTTGCGGAGTCCCAGTATCACATGTCGCTCGGTGTCAGTGGTCAGTCTGTCACTTTCTCTCAGTCTCTGTGTTTCTCTCTCTCTGTGGCTGGTGGTTGTGCAGAGTTCGGACTCTTTGCTCTGGTTACAGTTGCAGAGCCCTTGCAATTGCTGTTCTGTGCTGAGCTGTGCTGGGCTGGGCTGGGCTGGGGGTGCTGGGCTGGGCTGAGCTGTGGGTGCTGAGCTGTGCTGGGCTGAGCTGTGCTGGGCTAAGCTGTGGGTGCTGTGCTGGGCTGGGCTGTGCTGGGCTGGGCTGGGCTGGGCTGGGGGTGCTGTGCTGGGCTGATCTGTGCTGTGCTGAGCTAAGCTGTGGGTGCTGGGCTGGGCTGAGCTGTGCTGGGCTGAGCTGTGCTGTGCTGGGCTAAGCTGTGGGTGCTGAGCTGTGCTGGGCTGTGCTGGGCTGGGCTGAGCTGTGCTGGGCTGTGCTGGTATGACCAGCTTTGCCCTGTGCTGCGCTCACTCTGTGTCTCCGCTCAGTCCCTGTCCAGCGCTTTCAGCTCAAACACACAGTGATCCGAGCGCCGCATCGCTGAGTCCCAGTGCCGCTGCACATTGTGAGCTGCTGATTAATCCCCGCTGGGTCCTAGAGCCCGTGAACTCTCTCTCTCACACACACACTCACACACACACACCCGGGTTCAGCTCTGGAGCCACGTGACAGGTAACTTCAGGCTGAGGACAGAGCTCCCCATTGCTACACCAGTGTCGTCAAGTCGATCAGACATAAAGTCTGTCAGACTGATACCTCTCGTTTTATAATACACGTCCGAGACGCTGTCCGGCGCGTAGAGCCCTATATAAATGCAACTTGTTGTTGTAATAATAATCTCTGCATTTAATATAGTGCCAACAACCTCAAAATTTCTCAAAGCACTTCACAGTGGGGTTTGCTTGAAGTGTAGCAACTATATTCGTAGGCAACTATGGCAGCCGTTTGCACATAGCAAAGCCCTGCAAACAAGCAAGAAGTGAATGATCATTTTCTAAGAAGGATTGCTGGCCAGGACACAGGGAGAAGCACCTGTCTCTTTTTGAATAGCGACACGGAACCTTTAATGCCCATCCTAAAAAGAAGAAAGGACCTCGGTTTAATGTTCCATCTGAAGAACTGCATCTCTGTCAATATAGCGCTACCCCAGTACTGCACTGAAGTGTGAATTTGAAGCGCTGGCTGTCGGAGCATGTCTGCTTCACACTAGTGGGCACATTATTGAGCACAGCACTGACACTGTGTCGGACATGGTATCAAATAATGATAATAATAATAATAATCTTTGCATTTGATATAGTGCCATATCAAGTCGTTGAAACTTCTCAAGGTGCTTCACAGAATATATTGTAAATGGATTGGTGAAACACCCATAACATACACAGTACAGTGCTGGGAGAGTGTTGGGTACAGTATATGGCGTCCTACCCTTAAAGGGACAAGCAATTTACAAATACAAGTTTACATTTTTATAGCGCCTTTGGTGTCAGGAGGACATCCCGAGGCACGTTTTTAGAGGTGATTCAGTGGAAGGGAAAGATGATGATTTCAGGAGTTGAAATCTGATTGATGTAAAGACTCCCGGATGTAAGTGATTTTAATGGAGAGTAAATTGAGGAAGGCATAATCCAAGTTTTTTACACTCTGTTTGATATGGTGGGTGAGCCCAGAAAGGGAGGACACAGAAATGGAATTAGCAAGGCTCGCAAAACCAGAGTGTAGATGAAACATACAGATTTTCAGCATAGATGGAGGCCGTTGTACCTATGCCACTACGGCCCCTGATTTAATAAATTGCCTTTAATTACTAATCCTACTTCCAACTCTTTCCCCATATCATATCCTTTACCATCTCCCCCAATTCCATGTGCGTTCATATTTTTACTGCCTGGGTATCTTATCCAGTTACTTTTGAACAATTTGACCGAACCAGCCTCAAAAGTCTGGGACCGCCCTTGGTATAACTGCATTGGCTCTTGAATCATAAATGGTAATAAAATCCTTGTATTTGATGTCACTGTACGGAAACCGGACAGAAATGTTCAGTCCATCCAATCCGTGCCGGTGTTGTTCTCCGCATGCTGAGCCTAATCCAAATCTCCTGCTTGCTCCCCAAAACCATATCTTTTTTAATTAAGCGTTTGACACAAAATATTCTCTTTTTTTGGGATCAGCCGGGTGTATGACACATGCGGAAACCTTTCACCGTTGCTTAAGAGTATCCAAACCAAACTGAGAATTCCATGCATCCCACCTACACATGGAAATCCTAGAGATAGATTGTTGGAATGGAATGCGCTCTCTCTTCCTGGGGGGTTGCATCCTGCTTACCTAAATCCTTAGGGTTCCCATTGCTGATCACTATCTAGTCAGCCCGGCTGGAAAGTGCACATGGCGTTTTGGACAAAGGCTGCACTGGGGCTGTACCAAAGTTCACACGAGGAGAGCAATTTAGCATCAGTCGACTCTCAGGCGAGCAGGGGGAGGGAATTGCGACAACACAGTATTTACATATTAAAACACGAGTTGTGTTCACACGCTACATCATACGGGGAGATATGCTTGCCGTCCAGAGCACTCTTCATTCACTCTGGATGCACGAGCCACGACGGTAAATCTTGATTGTTCAGACTGCAAGGAAAACAAACTCTCCCCATAGAACGGGCAAGAGGCTGCACATCTTCGCCACTTTGCAGACACCGACCGTAGAGGGCAGTGACCATTGTATGCCAATAACAGGCTCGGTGGCCCGGTATGGTGCACCCTCTGGTGGTGTAATAATCCCACTACGTGTACCAGACCCGTCTGCCTCACAAACTGACCGGCAAGCAAGGACATCTGAATAGATAGAAAAGCCAGGTATTTTTATTCAATGCGTTTAATTTGCTCAAATAAACAAATGTCCTCGATACGGTGACCAGATCTAATCGTTTTGGGAAAAGTCTATCTAGTTATATATTGGAACGTCCTCCTGATGCGAAAGGCGCTAAACGAATGTAATTTTGTATTGGACATCACTTCCACAAGTAGCTATTGAAGCTGGATCAATGGAATCGTTCAGAAGGGTAAAGGAACACCCATTATCTGTTCAAAGGATAAAGACACGAGCAGTAAAACTTTTAAAGGATATGGAGATAGAGCTGGAAAAAGACTATTCAGAAAATCAGGTCAGAGTGGCACAGACATGATGGGCCAAATGGTCCCCTACAATAACCAGGAATATAACATAGCTGCATGGCGTTATTTGACCTGAGGCAGATTTTCAAGATTAAGGGTTATCAAATGGGGTAAACAGTCATCGCTGGCCTGTGTGCTTGGTGCTGTTATTCCAATAACAGCTCACTTCATGTCTGCAGGATCCATTCACTCATTGTGTTTCAGCCTTACTACGTCCCTTCCTCCAAGTAATCCAGAGTATATGGCAAGATACTGACTCTTAGGTCTTTGAATTTCCCCCCTTCTCTAACATCGAGTCTACCTCTGATATCGAATCCTCCTTCTCCACTGCAAAGACTGAAGAAAAATATTCATTTAACAGTTTGTATCCTCCAGCAGAGCAAAATAAAAAAATTGTCATCCATTTCATGCGTTTGTGGGGTATTGCTGCGTGCAATTGTGCTGCCACATTTTCCTACAAATTCAGTCACTCCATTTCACAGTAAATCCTGTGAAGTGCTTTGAGATCTCCTTCTGACGGGATAAGACGTTATACCTAACAATGATTATTATTATTATATATAGGTCTATTTTTAATTTGCCCATCCTTCACCACTTGAAGGAGATATAGTTGAATCAATTTGTAAAGTTTTTTTTAATATTCCCGCTTGGCCTCCATAATTATTTTCTTTGTCTCTTTTTGTTGCTTTCTATAATCTTCCCACCACTCTTTCAAGTTACAAAAGCCTTTTCTTTTTGAAACCGGTTTTCATATGAATCCACATTTGCAGACAATGGTTGGAGACCCTGGTTTTGTTCTGAAGTAAGAGTGACGGTAGTCAAGCAGAAAAAGCAATACATTCATACACTGTAAGTAACAGAAAGGGACTAATATATTGTGTAAGAGCAGTAGGTGGGCTGTGTTCAATACCTGAATGGAATTACTCGTAAACCTGAGACGATTTGTGTAATGCTCGTCTGTAATGTAACATTAATCGTTCGGTGAGCTGCTAGGCATGGATTTCCATTCATTTAGGCTAGTTTTCCAATGGAGCACTCAAAGAGTAATGCTTTTAATTTGGACAGTAAATTTGTGATGCTGTGCAGGTTTGATCCATCAATTAGCCTTTTATGTAGTAAATAAAATCTCACTGGCACTGCAGCAGAGAGGGCAACTCCCTCATTATTAATAATAATCGTTGTATTTGATAGAGTGCCTTATAACATTTTCGAGACGTCTCAAAGTGTAGATAGAGGGATAGAGTTTCAGACTGTGGGGGCAGAGATGCTGAATGCCAATGGTGAGGCGGGGGACCTGAAGGGGGCCGGTGTCCGCCGAGCGGACAGGCTAAATTGGGGTTATGAGGACGGAGAGGTAGTGGGGGAGCAAGACCATGGAGGGCCTTGAAAGTAAGAACAACGGTTTTGTACTCGATTCTCTGAGGAATGGGGAGCCAGTGAAGTCAACATGTTCCAGACTTGTTGCTAGACATTGTAACTGGTTTCTCCCCCTTCAACCCCAACTGAGCATGTCCATGATATTACCCTGTGGACATTCCCTACTCTGTTTGATATTTTGGCTCCCCGGTTGGCTGGCCCTATTCTCCTTTGTTCGGCAATCACTGCTAAATGGCTTGTTAGCTTCCCTAACTACATCCTTGTGGGGATCTGAATTCTCATGTCCCCATCATCTCCCCAGATGGAGCTAGCAACGTGTTGGACCCTGCGTTCAGTAGTAATAATAATAATAAACCTTGCATTTGATATAGCGCCCTATCGCGTTCTTGAGCTGTCTCGAAGCACTTCACAGAATATACTGTAAAGTAGATTGACTGCGTAATTTGTGGGTGAAGCATGGCAGCCAATTGCGCAGAGCAGTGTTCCACAAGCAGTCGTGGGTTTAGCATCCAAATTTTTTTTTTTGGAGATTATTACTTCCGGAAAGCGATCCATAAAATCAGTAAACACAACCCTGGCCATGAAATACGGCTGCACTTAATCTACATTGCAGAAAACAGTCTATCCAGATCCTTACATTCCCAGCTCTCTGAATTTCACACCTTTACTGGATAGAATGCTAGCGGTTCTTCGGTTGTGGATTAATGGATCCCATGTGGAACACTGGTGTTTGAGGGTCTTTTAGCGACTTCTTTTCACTATCATTTAATAACAAGAGTTCAGAGGTTAAGCGCTGCCTGTAGCACTCCCTTGGCCACTTTGCTGTGTGTTGATGGCTCCCAGTTACCTAATAAAGACCACTCTTGGTGGAAACATGATCCAGTCACTTCTTGTTTTTCCTGCCTATTGATTGCAGAGTTCGATCCCTGAGCTCATTCTCTTTGAAATAATGCTTCTTCACTTTATTGATTACAGTGTCTCTGCTCCGCTAATGGAGATGTAAAGTGCACAGCCCCAGCTCCACATTGACTCAACTTAGACTCTTGTTTACTGTGAGTGTGGCTTCAAGCAAAAACTCTGCCTCCTACAGCCTGAAATTCCATCTTGTCTTAGCCCATAAGATCATTTTGTCTCCAAGTTTGAGAGCGCTCAAGATTGTGGGAAATCCTTCAATTCAGTCTCACTTTGTACGCCAGTTTGATAAAGTGCCACACAAGAGACTTGTAAGCAAAATACAAACCCACGGTATTAAAGGGACAGTGGCAGCATGGATACAGAACTGTCTGGGAGACAGAAAGCAGAGAGTGCGGTGGTGAACGGTTGTTATTCTGACTGGAGGGAAGTGCTCAGTAGTAGCCCCCATGGGGTCACTATTGGGACCACTGCTGTTTTTGATCTATATAAGTGACCTGGACTTGGGTACAGGGAGTACAACTACCAAGTTTGCAGATGATTCTAAGCTAGGAAAAGTAGTAAACAGTGAGGAGGATAGTAACGGACTGCAAATGGAAATAGACAGA